ATGTGTAAATATGCATGTGGCATGTGTGCACGCCTGGGCCTCCTTATCACAAAGTGTGCTCTCTCGGTGTTTAAATACACACAATCCACATCGACACATGATTATGGGCTTACGTATTTGCCTCTTCTCCAGAATCGGTTAATTTTCCCTTCGCTAATCCTCAAACCCATTAAGTTTCCCACCTCCCCACCCCCACAAAAAATTGCAACCCTACCAACCAGACCAGTGGTCTCACCCCACTTCTCCAGCAAGCAGCTCTCCAGGCGGGGTGCTGGAGTGAAGGTTCCTATTAGGCAGACTTCATTAATGTTACCAAATATACCCCGGCACATTTACTCGTCTACTATGAAGTATTACCATAAATAATTAAAATTAAACTGCACTTGTCAAAATAAATGAACAAAGTAGAGTTAGTGATGTCTTTGCCTTGATTTGCTTGCTATGGGTTTGCTTATTCACCAATCTGAAGAAAGGAAGAGAGAGAGGAAGAGGAAAGAAAGGATAGATTGCGGCAGACTGCCATGGGGAGGGCAGAGGAGATGTCAGAGGAATGAGACAGAGAGAGAGAGAGAAACCCCTCAGTCACCCTCAGTCATCTGCCCTTGGGTTTGCAGTCATTAGGGCACTCTGGGAGGCTGGAATGCAGCCTCTAACGTCAGCTCATAATGAATATTGAGGTGTGGATGTGGAAGGAGGGATTTCTTTGTTTACTGAGGAATGGCCATGGGAATGGGGGAGAGGATTGCCTTTGGGGATTAAGGAGTGGGCTTTGTTTTTATGAAGGGCCTTACTTCTTTTCTGAAGTTTTCTGCAGCTAATTGATTCAATTCAGACATTCCTCCTCCCCACCCGGCCGGCCGTGTGTTTGTGAGATGTGCACAGCCCCATTTCCCCATCTGCTCTGGCCCCTTTCTCCACTGTGACCCTTGAAATGGGTGTGAACCTTCACAGCCATGAGAAATTAGTCAGGGCTGAGACCGTCCTGAGGATACCTGTGTGATATGCAGACACACATACACACAGACTTATATATTCCTAGCAGTATAATTTACATCTAGAAACAGATCATAGGTGTACAGTTCTATGGGTTCTAACAAATGCATTTACACCCATGTAACCAACACCCGAGACAGGCGGCATTTCCCTCACTCCAGAAACTTCTCTCCTGCCTCTTGCCAGTCAATCCCTGCCTGCCCCCTTCTGATGTCTCTTGCTGTAGATTAGTTTTACCTATCTAGCATTTCATATAAATGGAATGTATGCCAGGACTTTTTTAAAAGAATTAATTTCAAGTCTGGAGGGAGCCCTGTCCTCAGAGGCCTGGGTGAGCGTGTGTCCAGGAGCATTGGATCGTGTAAAACATTCTCCCCTCAGACGGGCCCAGAAGTCAAACCTGTAATTAGATGTTTTTTGGGGTAGTGGGGGAGAGCTGGTTTGGGCTGGTCTTCCTTAAGGAGAGCCCTGTTCTCGCCCGAGGTTTGTTAATGAGCTGGGGACAGGTGAGCCTCACACATTCCAACTTGGCTGCCTTCAGCGGCATCCAGGAGCGTGGTGAGCTATTAATGGAAGGTGCTGGCTTTGTGCTAATTAGAACTTCCTTTCAGCTTCCATCTGTGCAGACACCGGAGCCCTTCGCTGGTCAGCCGCCCCTGCCCCCTTCAGCTTGCAACCTAGTTTTTGTTCCCCCCATGAATTAGGGGGTACTGTGAGTGGAGCTGCTCCCCTCTGTCTCTGGTCAAACCCCGGTTCTTTGTGTGTTGCAGAAATGTGTGGGGTGGCATTTCTCTGGCCTCCTCTCTCTTACTGGAGTGGGCTGGACTGCAAGTTTGGAAGAGGGTTTGGATGCCAAGGCCACCCCCTGGGGTAGGCTGGTCTTAAACTATAGACCTGGGTTTGTTTTGTAAAACCCCTCTCTCCTCTACCTTCTGGGGAGTGTGGCTTCAGACCCTTGTTCCCTATATTACCTCTAGTCCTGATGTCTCCCAAATCTTGGGGTACCCACCCCATCTCAACTACAGCTGCCATCTTTGACGTCTGAGGCAGCCTGTGGGTGGGGGCTGTGTCCCTGACCCTCTTCTGAGAAAGCCAGGGGTTTTTTTTTCCACTTTTGCTTTTTATTTCTTTCACCTCAGGCCCAATGGACATAGTTTTTTTTAAAAAAATGGAGTTTGTCTCTTATAGAGGTTCATTATAAAAGAAGACACTTTAACATCATTTAAAGAAAAAGCACCTCTCAGAATGGAGGTTGGGAAAGCTACAGCTTCCTGCTTAAATATTAGTTGGGGATGAAATCCCTTGTAGGGAACTAGAGAGGGTCCTTTCCTCAAAATGTTCTTTTTAGCTCCTGAATCCCCTGTGTGTAAAAACATCAAGACCTCCCCGCCAATGCATCTCATTCTCACCTGCTTGAAATATCCTGATAATAATGGAGGTCACCCACTTCTTGGACTGTGTAGACTGGGATTTTAAAAATCGGGAGTGGATTATTGGACAGTGTGGGGCTTCACCAGGCTCTGGACCTGTGCTAAAGAGGAGTGGAAATGTCCGGGGGTGCCCAGAGGGCTGCAGAAATGCCCTTCACTGGTCATGGGAAGAGCAGAAAGGCTGGCTCACACCTCTGTGGCCTCTTCTGCCTCTGGCAGGGTGACAATTCTTGATCTGAAGTACTAGGGTGCAGGACCCAGGACTGCTCAGGACTGGGTCAATAAACTGAGCAGCTGCCGTGGGTATGAGAGGGATGCCACACCTGTGGGGCAGGGTTCTTTGCATGCTTTGGCCTTTACAACTCAGTGTATCCTTTACAAGTCTCATTTGCCTCTCTGGGTGAAATGGGGACAAGAGTACCCATACCTCCATGGGTCATGTGAGAATTAAGTAAAAATATACAAATAAAGTGCCTGGTATACAGTAGGTGCTGAACAGTAGTAGTTCTTTCTCCAGACTGGGGTAAGGGGTGCACTTGAATGTCTGGATCTGAAGTTCAAAACTCCACCAGCTGGAGACAGAGTGAAAGTCCCCATAGATGGCCAAAATGTCATGGAAGGACCAGCCACCACTGCCTTCCCCCCTCAGCTCATGCCATACCCGCTGGGCTGGACTGGGAGGAGAATCGGAACTGGAACCGGGGTGGAGGATGGGGTGGTGGGTGGGAGTGGATGGGGGAGCGGTAAACAGTTGTAAAGTTCCTAGCTTTGCTGTCTGGGGAGGAGAATGTATGTGTCTTTAGAGATCTGAAGGAAACCGGATCTGGATTGACTTTCGTTGCCAAGAGCACCAGGGCTGGGAGCCAAAGGGGCACCACCAGGAGGCCCATGTTAGTTTGGGGTACTGGATTTCTAACAGGTGGTGCTTCCGGAAAATGGCCTGGGGTTCTGGCTCTAGGGGAGATGTCAGGGGAAGCCAGGGTTGTCCCCAGGGCGGTGTCAATCTGGCTCTCCGCGATGCGCTGGGTCCTAGGCCCAGCGAGGTGTCCCATCTCACGGTTCTGCGTTTCCAGACGTCCAGCCCCGCGCGAGTGGAGGGTCGCTCCCTTTGCCGGCCCCCAGCGGCACCTATGCGAGTGTCTGGAAGTGTGGCCAACTGGCGAGTAAGGAGCTCCCCCAACCCGCCTTGGCTGTACCCCACCGGATTTCTCTCCTGCGTCCTAGGCGGGCCTGGTTGAGGCGCGTAGAGCGCTCAGCAACCTCTCCAGGCTGTGGCTGTGACCTGGAGGACGTGTGTATCCCCGACCCCAGGCCAGGGGACCACGAATGAACCTTGAGTGGACGGAGTTGCGCTTCTGGGCGGGCGTGGGGGGCGCCTGACGTCTCCGCTCTGTTTTGCAGTTACTCCCCTGCTGGTGCCTCCCTCCTCCGCGCCGTTCCCGCCTGCGCTTGGCGCCCTCTTTGCAATCACGAACTCGCCATCAGCACTGACTAGTAGGAGGGCGCGCTGGAGGAGAGGTGAGTGGCCGGGGCCAGAGCGTGGGAGGGGGAGCTGGCTGCCTGCACCCCCACTCTTCCCTGAGGTGTCTTAAAGAGTGGGCCGTGGGTTGGGGGAGTCCGGGATCGGATTGGTAGAGCAGTTGTGTTTTCACCTGGGTCACCGGACCGGACAGGCGACTGCCTCTCCTTCTCCCTAGGCTGGGATCCCATGTCACCCCCCCTCCCCCAACCTGTGAAATGGCGTCAACAATACACCTGCTGGCGCGTTGGGCTTTCTAATATAATTCGGCAGAGCACGGCGTGTAGCACACAGTGGGCGCAAAGTAAATGGCGGCGCTGATGGTTCCGGCCTAGGCCGGCTTCGCGGGCACCCGGCTCTCCCCGTCGGCCTTCCGCGGGAGCCGGGGACGCACAGTCGCCAGAGCCCGAGCTGGGAAAGGCGAGGCCGCTTCCCGCCTGCGCAGGACCAGGCTGGCCCCAGAGGGCTCAGGGCCTGGGCCCGCGTCCCACACTCCAGGCCCCGGGCGCCGGAGCCTAAGCAAAGGAAGACTCCTTTCTACGCGTTCACACCTCGTCTACACCGGGGCACTGCCTAGGCTCGCGGCCTTGGGGCAGAAACGTCCGCAGCCCGGAACGCCGCTGCGGGGGGCGCGCGCCAACGGGGCGCCCCGGGGCCTGCGGAGGGAGGGAAGAGGGCGACGGCAGGCCTTGCCCGCGTCCCCTCGCCCTGCGCCCGCGTCCCCTCGCCCTGCGCCGCGGCCCGAGAGGCCATTTTGAGGGAGCGGCGTGGCTGCAAGATGGCTGCGTGGGCACGAGGGGTCTCGGCGCCGCCGGCCCCGCCCGCGCTCGCCCACCGAGCGGGACCGGCGCCCGCCAGCGCTGCCCCCACCGCGGTCCGCCCGGGGCAGGCCCTCCAGGCACTGACCGCCGCGGAGGCCTCCGGAGCTGACGGCGGGGGCCCCTTCCCGCCCCCGCCCGGGCCCTCCCGTCCCGAGCCGCCCCGGGCCGCCGCGCGACGGGCTGCAGGAGAAGGGCGTCGGCGCGGGCGCTCCTCGCGGGCCTCCGCCCGGCAGCGGCGGAGCCGGCCTTCCCCGCGGCCCGAGCGGCCCGGAGCTCGAGGAACTCGTTCGCTAGTTTCGAGGACGGTTAGGAGCGCGGCCAACGCCCGCTTTTTCCTGAGACCTGAGGCCCGAGATGGCGAGCAGGCCGCCCTCCGCCTCCCCGGGGCTGGGGCGCCCATAGCGACAGGCCGGGGGCGCCGCCGACGGAGGCGGGGTCTGGCCGGGCGCCCGCGTCGTCCTTGGTGAGATGGGGCGAGGGCCCACCTGGAGGCTCCCTCCACACCGCCCGGGGCGGCAGCGGGCCGACGGGGTGAAGCAGGCGCGGCTGGCGCGGCGAGCCGGCTCGTCCCCTCCAGGTCTCCGCCCAAGGGTCAGAGGTTAGGGTCCGCTGCCCCCTGTGCCTCAGTTCCCCGCGTGGGAGTAATTTAGCCGCAGTCAGTGCTGTTTCAGCCGCCCCATGAACCGGCCGCTGCCCTAAAGCAGGTCCCAGGCCTGTGTGTTTATGTGCAGAGGGACCAAGAAACTTCAATAACACTAGTCTGTGTCTTTCCAGTCCTGTTTCTCGCCAGGCCTGGTGCTAAGTGCTTCACACAAATTAGAGACTCACCTCGATAGGTGGGGCGATGATTTCCCACTCGTGACTTTTGCCATAGCTGGGATGTGGCAGAGCCAGGATGTGGGCTCCGGGCTGTGGGCCCACATGCATACATACTCACAAACACTGGGATTCCTCCCTGCCGTTGTGGTTTCCTCTTTCAAACAAGCACCAAGCCTCTCCTGAGTCCAAGCCCCCATCCCTGCGCATTCCTGCCTCACATATGAGGGCTCTCCTGTCATCCCCCTACCTCCTACTCTAAAGCCTTGGCCTAAAGTAGATTTTATGATTGAATACTGTGGCTGTTCTGAGCTTCCTGGCAGCCAAGACAAAGAAAACATGATGGTTTATAACCTTGTTTAGAAAAATGAAGTTTATCAGGATTTTAGAGAGATGAACATTTTTTTCCTGCACAAGATTTATAGAAAATGTAAAGCTCGTTGATCATGTAGGTCAATTGCTCACGTCGGTAGATGAGGAACTAGGCACAGAGAGGTTAAATGATTTTCCCCAAGGTCGTAAAGTTATCAAATAGAGTGAGGACTGGGACCCAGCAGTCCTGACTCCTAGTCCAATTCCCATCCTGTCATGACCAGGCTTTCTTCGCTTCTCAACAGATAGTGTAGTCGTGGCCTAGTGACCCCCCATCCCACACCATAAAGTTTTCAGACCTGGCTGCTGTCCTTTCTCTGCCGCCAGTTGCTAGTGCTGGGCTGGGCTCATCATGGTGGATATCTGAAAATGTCTGGGAAGTGAGTGAAGCTAAACCTCTGGTACTGAGGAGATGAGACTGGGTAGAGGGCAGGCCCTGACTTCTGTTTTCTAGGGGAACTTTAGTTTTTGAATGTTGGGTTCCTAAGCCCATTAATTCCCTAGGTCTCTCTCTTAGCAAATGGTATGAGCTGGGTAGTGTGTTTCCCCTTTAGGCAGTGGTTCCATTCCTAACTGTCCTGTCACATTACTGGACCTCACAGGAGAGGGTCATTTGTTTCTTGGGGGACCATGTTGGAAGACCAGCAAGTCCCTTTGGGTGAACTAAGGAAGGTCTGGCACAGTTGCTGTGAGACCTGGCAGACCCATTCTTTTGTCCTCTCTGGGTAGAGAGCCAGCCTCTCTGTACCTGCCCAGGTTTGATTCCTGTGGCTTAAGTACAAATCGCAGAATGTGGCTCAGATAAATAAATTTCATGGCTCCCAAGCCATGGTACCCTTTGCATTCCTGGCATGGTAACTATAGGTGCAAAATAAATTTAGTGACCCTGCCACAGACCAGATACTCTGGAACTCTGTACTGAAAAGGTGTCACCCCTGAGTGTGGGGAGGGGTGTGCTTCTTGGTAGGGAGCCCTTATGGGAAGAAAGGCTCCAACAGATCTTGGCCAAACCCTGACTACTGTCATTGGGCAGGGTCTGCATGGGCAAAGCAGGGTGAATAACTAGGGCCAGTTTGCAGCTAAAGCCCCAGCTGTGGAAGAAAAACAGGGTTCAGCTCCCCAGATTAGTTACTGTCTACAGGGATTAAAGGCCCCAAATAATGGCTGGCTTCTACCCTCCTCTGTGCCAAAGGAAGACATGTAAATACAGCCGCACGCCAGCTTAGGCAGTAGATGTGTATAAATCGAATTTAGCAAATCAGATCATGGTTTAAATGCACTATTTAAAGCAGTCCTGCAGTGAAGCCTTTTACAAAGGGAATAATCATTTTGTGATGCTAATCATCAGCCTCCAATTTATCTCCTTTGTAAGTTCAGATGTTGGTGCACTGGGTGTTCTGAAATTGGGGCGCTCTTGTGTAGGGCTCCTGTGATGGCTGTCTGCTTTCTTTTTCTGACCTCTCATTTTAAATGGGTGCATGTCCTGCTTCTCACTGGGGGCCCCTGGATGCATGTCACTTAGCCTGATGGGTCTCATCCATCCCACTTACCTTTTAATAATCTGATAGAGCCCACCATTCAGCTGTTCTTGGCTCCTTTTCTGAGATTTTTTACCCTTTCTCGGGGGGAGATGCAAGCCCTGCTGTTCTCAGGGTTTTAGAAGTAGCTCCCTCTCTGATCTGAACCTTCTTTTTTTTCCTGAGCTTCTGGTACCTTTGGTCCAGATCATAAAGATGACCTTAGAGTTGACTAGATGACACAAATCAGCCCCTGAATTTAGAAGGCAAATTAAATGCAGGCACCCATTTGCTGAATAGGCAATGTCCAAAATATTCCTCCCATTCACAGCAAAATAACTGAGGCCTGGATGTTAAAGTGACTTTTCCCACAACTTAAAATCGGGACTCAAAGGAGAACCTGTCTCCCAATTGCTATAAAAGTGTTTTATATGCTGAGCTGTAGTTCCTTTCTCTGCAGAGAAAATATAATCAGAGACCATCTGGGTGGGAGAGAAAGAATGAAGGGAAAGAGATGGATCAGAGTGGAATAAAGGAAGTGGGCAGGAAGCTGGGGGGCTTTGGGGAGCCTGACCTTGCTTAGCTTACAGGCCCTGATATAGTGTCTTTGTCAATGCTGCCACTATTGACGCGCTCCTCGGTAATTATGACTGTGTGTTGGCATGGCGACTCGGAGTAAGAAGACTAGAAGCACTGGGTAAATGCACGACTTGTTCTTGCCTTCTAAAGCAGAGAGGAGCTTTTGTGGGTAGTTCCTCCAGAGAAACGTGGCAGAAAAAATCCCCCAGACCCGGTGCTGGAGTGTACCTCTAGCCCATCGGAGCCAGGTGGCCCCGATGGGGGATGGCACAGACAGAGGTCCTCAGCAAGACTTGTGGCCGATGCAGGCGTCTCCCAGAGCCTCTCTCCTGTTCCTTCCTGTTGGTCTTTGTTGCTTAGCCTCGTAATGTCAAGTATATTCATTTCTGTGCCTCTCTGGGTTTTCTATTTCAAGATGGGTTTATGTTGCAGTCTTCCTAAATTTGATTTATCATAAAATTATCTATTTCTTAGGCCATGACCATGTGTTGGAGACTGAAAGGAAAGGCTGCTGGGCTCAGCTTGTAGGAATGGAGTTTGGGGCTTCCCTTTCTACTGTGGTGCCCTGTCCCTAGGTACTTGGGCCACATTCTCGTCTGAAAACAGGGAGGGGTTGCTGGAGTCGAGAGTCCAGTATGTTAACATGTGCTGCTGCTCTCGTGACCTGTGGTCAGTGTGGCATCATGTTGAAATGATAATATTGGGTTAAATACAATATATTGGTAAAAATGAGCTGTTTCTTCTTACTTTTTAATGAGGCTTCTAAAACATTTAAAACTCTACGTGGAACTCACATTATATTTTCATTGGACAGCGAGCTCTACACTAGAGGGTCAAGACCTCTTTCAGCCTCACTCGATGCTCAGTGACTAACCCTGATCGGCTCCCAGGAGGCCTCTGGCCACGGAGAGCTCTGTGCATAGAGGGCATGGGAGAGCCAGGGTGAAGGCAGGTAGAGGGCCTCACGCCTTGAAGGGCTTTTGGGAGTGCCTGGTATATAGCCCTTTACTTGGGGATTACCCCTCAATCCTTGGAGGCAGAAATTGTGACCTGAATCTGCAGACAACATTGTGTTTTTCAGCATTTAGGGTGGGGGCAAGAGAGCCAGTGGCTAACCCCTAGAGAGTCTTTGAACGAAGGTCTTGCAGGGCCCCAGTGGAGTTTGTATGGGCACAGCTGTAGATGACAGGAGGGTTGTCCCCTTGCTTTCCCCCGCCCCCCAGCAGTGATTTCATGGTTGGGTGTGTGGAAACCACAGGGCATGGGAAGGCAGCTGTGCATCCCAGGTTCGTGCCAAACCCACTTTCAGCAGGTTTGTTTCCTTTGGCCCGAGGGCTCCTAGTTGCCCCTGTCCCCGCTGCCCCTCCTCCCCTCAGCCGCTGCTGCGCTCTCTGTGAGCTGGAGCTTCTGGGACACGCCTTGGCTCTGAGCCAGCGTCTTCTTGGAGAGCCCTCCTGCCCTGGCTCCCTGCCAAGCCGAGGGCTTTCTGGGGAGGTGCGGGGCTCATCCTGCTGTCAAAGGGCAGAGGGGCCTCGGTCAGCCTTCTCACCTCCGAGGACCCTGGCTGTGGGGCCAGGCCTGCCTCCAGCCCCTTCCCCTCTCAGGGACTCCAGCTTCCTGCCCTGGAAACCTGGACTGGGTAACGGGCCTGCCAGCCCCAGTAAACCTTGAGTTTATGAAAAGAAGGTTCCTCACATGGGACTGGAAGGTAAGGAATGGGCATCCAGGAAATTATCGTGAGTCATCATGATGGGGACAGGAACCATTCACTGAGCACTTACACCATGCCAGGTTCGGTGCTAATGCTTTGTGCGCTGTGTCTCCCCGGGAGGCCTGTCTCTAGGGTAGAAAAAAAGGGTTGTTAATTTTATTTTGGGTTTTGCCTTTTTTTTTTAGGCCAATGCCATTCGGTTGATTGCACAGGGTGTGTCTTAGGAGCTACAGTCCTTGGGTAGGAGGGAGTCTCAGTCCCCGGTGAGTGCTCCTCTCCCAAGGAACTGGCCTGGGCTTTAGGAAGTCGCAGGAGTTCGTTTGGGTTGCTAGAGGATGCCTGTGCGGCATCTCCTGCTTGGCTGGCAGTACACCGGGAGAATGCAGATGGGAAGGCTCTGGGCTGGGCCCCTGGGAGCCCTGGAGAGGTGCTAGAGGCTGAGAACACCCCACCCGATCCTGACTTGTC